AATGTACAGTGACCCTGGTGTCCTGACTGCTATGGGGAGCTTATACCAAACTTTTTTTTTTTTTTTTGAGGATCTTCAGCTTCATCAAATTTCCTTAGCTCAGATACGTCATGTTACGCTATTTTTAGTTAGTTGCTCAAGGTCATTTTTTTCATCATGAGTTTTGTTGAAAATATTCTCCATTTAAAAAAAAATATTTGCAAATGATTACCAGAGAGGATTATGGGTAATTTACAACATCACAGCAAACAATAACAATGAACCTTGTAACAGTTTCAGGGTGAATATTCTATTTTTCACTAGTAAAACTGTATGGTCATTACCTGCATTGTTTGTCTGCATTTTTTTTTTTTTTTCAAAACCATCACCTTTTGTAGAGCTTTAACTATGATGGACAAGGTAAAACACTATAAACCCTCCAAAAGACAGAGTGTCTGAGTCCTAAAGGTTACAGCAGCAAAATCAGGTAGCTTCCTTCTCAGCCTTGTCGGATGTCATTATTTTAAATATGCTGGACATGGCTACCGCAGTTGGCTACTGCTTTATAATCTTCCAATGAACATGTTCTAATGAACATGTTCTTTTTCATTGTACCTGCATGTAATGACTCCACTGGATCACTGGACTGTGAGCAGTAAACACAAGGTACCATTGTTAGCTTAAGTTTGTAATACAGAAACATCGAACTCAATTCTCTATGGAATGCTGCCTCAATATAAGTTTATAACATCAGAGGTTGCTGGTTCAAGCTTTCCTCTAGCTTCTCTTTTGCCATTACTGTGAGGTATGTGACTGTTAATTTGAAAGAAAAATCCACTTCCTGAACAAGCCATGGCTCTATGGTGCAGTGGTAAATTCTTTGCCTTGTATAATGGAGGTTCCCAGTTCAATTCTCTCACCAGCCAAAGGTTTTTTTTTTTAAGTCTTCAGCATGGAAGATGTTGAGGTAGAAGGAGAAGAACAGAGGACTCTTGCCATAGTAATCTGTGGTGGCACAATGACAGAATGGAGGACTATGACCCAGTAGGTCACTGGTTCAAACCCCTATGAGAACTCTTAAATTACTTTTGATGGTAAGGATGGCTTCCAAACAGGAAGTAGAGGGCAGCAGAGTGCTGAACATGCAACAGGAGGTGGAGGGTTGTAGAGAGCTGAACTTGCTCATTTGCGTGACTCACATACCTTCTGCACTGAACCCATGTGACTTAGCCCTCTGCACCAACAGTCAGCCACCAGAGCGCTGATTTGCTATTCATCTGTCATTGTTTCCACTGATCCTATCATTTTCTTTTGTTTTATACATGGTAAATGACATGGAAGAAAGTTATCAGAACACAAGCTCACACATCTCTCAGGTGGTGCTGAGGCAGAGTGTCAGGCTGGTATTTAAGAGGTCCTGGGTTCAAACCCTGCCTTTACTTTTGTCTTAAACATGCTAAATGTAGACATGTATAAGAAGGCTAGCAGAAAGCTGCACTCCATATGTCTCTCAGGTGGTGCAGAGACAGAATGCCAGACTGCAAAACAACAGGTCCTGGGTTCAATCCCAGCAAGAGCTCTCTCGATAATTTTGACAGCTAAAGGAGGCTCCCAAACAGGCAGCAGAGGGCAGTAGAGTGCTCAGGTTGTAACAGGAGCTAGAGGGCAATAGAGAGCTGAGGACATAGCAGGAGCTAGAGGGCAGTAAAACACCAAGGCAATAACAGGGGGTGGAGGGCAGCAGAGAGCTGAGGACACAGCAGGACTTAGAGGGTGGTAGAGAGTTGAGGGTGCAGCAAGACCAGCTAAGAGGGGGCAGATGGATGGGATGACGAAGACAGGGAAGAGTCTGACCCGGTCCGATGAGGAGGAAGAGGGGGGAGATGAGGATGAGGATGAGGAGGAGGAAGGGGGGGAGATGAGGATGAGGATGGAGAGAAAGGATGAAGAGGCAATAAGCCACACCCCTTTTTCTGCTAGTTAGTTGGGCTAGTTACCTCAGTTCAGTTAGGTTGTTGAAAAAGATAGCACGTCAAAACTTCAGCCTGTTCATGCAGCCGGCTGCATAACCACCAGCTTCCACCTCCCGAAACCTCGGGGGGGGTCTGAGTTCCCCCCCCTTACCTCTTGCCCAGGGCCACTGGTCAGATTTGAACCCACAACCTCAACAGTGTGAGGAGCAGATCTTCCTCCAACACCACAGACACCTTGGCACTCTTTGCCTTTTTTTTTGCGCATTTGACAAGCGACTTAAGAAGACGACTTAAGAACAAAAGGAAAACAAAGATTAACTGGGGCTTGAACCACAAACCTTCTGCACTGAACCCATGCAGCTTAGCCCTCTGCACCAACAGTCAGGACACACTCACACCACTTTGCTCATCAAACTTCAAGATGTCATCTCCAAAAGACAAAATGGCACCATGTTTGTGTTAGCTTGCTTCTATACCTGGACCTTACTTAATTACATAATTGCAAATTCAGTTCATTACGAGGTACAGCTGTGTGCATATAAACTCCCTTGACCTATGCAGAAGGTTTCCCACCTTCTCTCAGGTTGTGACAGTTGTGCTTGTGTGAGAAAAGGTACCAAGAAAATGTTTGTTTATTGAGGAGAAATCTGAAACTGGTATTTGAGATCTTGTGTGTTGCAGCAGTAGTTGTGGGATTGCTCAGACTTGGTTGATAATACATTTGTTTTGAATTTCATCATTTAATCCCCACCTCCCCACCCCAAGGATGTGGCATTTGGACAATAGAAGGTAAATGAAAGTAAATGGTTTGTGAAGGAGACTTTTTAAGTAGTCTTAAATTGTAGTAAAACGGTTGAATATTGCGCTGTGAAGCTTGGTATGTGGGTTTGGTTTAAATGTTGCATGAGAAATTTTACATGCTTCTACATGGCTCATTCTGTTTATCCCTTTTGCAGAGAAGTGGTTTAAAAAGCCTTACCCTGTCCTGATTGCATGCCATCCTGCAAGTTCCTCAGACTGCAAGTCAACCAGTAGACTGGGCACCATCCATCATGATTCAAATAACTTTTTCTTCTCTGATGAATGCGTGGGTACCTGTGCAATCACCGGTTAGCTGACTACAGTGCTGAACTTTTCAGAACAAAGATTTATGAACCTTTTAAGAGTCAAAATGTAGTGCACGTCCACCACTGCTCTAAGCTGATCAAATGTCACTTATTGCTGTTTTTTCATGTATAAAAGTTGTCTGTGAAACGAGATTCCACTTGCATCATACAAAATTTGTGCAACTTCTCACGTGTATGGTTGTGTTTGTCCTGCAAATAAACGTAAACGTTGAATTTCTCTGCAAAGTGTCCATTGAACCATTTAGCCAGATGTCATTACCTCGAATGCTACTCTATTTACTACCCTGAGAAGTAGGAGCTTCAATCTCATTAATGAGACAGGTGATGATCAGCCAATCTTTGTAAAAGCTATTTTTAGAAGATACATTTTGGATGGTGCTGTAGGAACTAATTGGGTAGACCAATCCCCTCAAGCTTGAATGACTCAATGATGATTATTAGGGATTATTTGCATTGAAATTTGCATTTGGTCTTGTCGAGGACAGCCATGTCAACATGAAACACTAAACTAAACGTGAATTTGTTATACTGCATGTGCTTGTCAAGATGTTTGACTGTTGTTTACTTGCTTGTGTGATTGACTTTACCAATAGATATAGTAAAGGTTAACTTAAATGCCACCTGCTCCCTACTACCAATATGGTAGTATATTATAATGAATATTATAATCCATTTTGGCCTTAATGTTCAAAAAGTACAACCCAGGTTAGTCATTAATCAAGACTAGACAAGAATTAGTGGTGTTGCATTATTTGCTCTACATCATTGACCTGTGCTGTGAGACTATTAATTATGTCACATACACGTAACTGCTTTGGGACATGAGTGATATTTGGATTGAATGTAGAGAGCAAATCACAATGGAGAGATGTCTTCATTGCTTCATACGAGTCAGTGCTTCCCAGCATTACCATCTTCAGTTCCTGCCACTACTTTGCTGACCTTTTTGCCCTCTAGTGGTGAGAATGTATTTCTGTGTGAGCTCAGTAAGCCAATTCAGATATAGGAGTCACTGTTTCAGTGACTACTTCCACTAGCTATAACCAAAGCAAGGAAGAGAGCTGGCAGTCAGGGGTAAACTGAGGAGAGGGAACAGGAATAAAATTTAACAGCGCCTGGAATATTAGTCTGGGGCACCCCCCCAGTTCCTAAGTGTCTAAGTTGGGAGGAGAGTTGCTGGGCACCAGTGGTCACCTGGGGACACACTGAGGCAAGGAAGAATACTGATTTGTGATATGAGCAAAGACATTTGCCTTAGGTCAACATTTCTAATTTGCTTGTACTAGAGGCTAGCAGAGTTCCAAGACATTATTCTGTCAGTACTTACATATACACATTTATATATATATATATATATATATGTGTATGTATATATAAGAATATACACACTGTATATATATGTATAGAAAAGTCAAGATAAATTAGATATATTTATACATTAAGAAACTACACAAAAATTAGTATTTACAACTGACACTAATAGTTATGGGATTGTTACCCATACCTATACAGCACTGAAAGACTCTTTTTGGGGTGTCCCACAGAAATAACCACAATGGCCCTGAGGTCTGACTGGTATAGAAGATATTTGTAAGGTGTGATCCAACTTATCTGAATACAGAGAACTGAGACAACCTTATATGAACACACCATTACACACATGAACTCTATCATTTCAGATTCTCTAGTTCCCCAGTAATACTTCTCATTAGTGTTCTGTTCCATCTGACTTGCCTACTACAAAGCATTGTAAGCTATACCAGATTAGGCACAATTCCAATAAGGTGCAATTCCAATTGTATGCTACCAAACGTTTCCTCAATTGAAGACTTACATTTGGACAAAATCAAGATTAATTGCTAGCATAAATATACTGTGTTACAGAAATACAAAAATCTTAGTATTAAGAATATTACACTAGTGCCTTGGGTGGGAATTGAACCCACAGTTGTTGGTAGCTTGTGAAACCAACATTTACCCACTGAGCCACACTGGGGTTCTGTGTCAAACCCCTCCTCCATCATGCTTACAGCTACACATCACAAATTCAGCTCAAAACAGGAAAATGGAGGAAAGACCAACAAATCCAGTTAGGCTTGAACCCAGATCCCAATTTGTGAGGGCAACATCTTAACATCTGCACCACGGCTGGAGCAAAGGGACATACTTCAGCTAAATGTGTCCACTGTCTGGGTCTTCAGGGTTTTTGTTGAGTTTGTTTTTCAAAAAACAGCCGATTGACAACTAGAAAAGTGGTGATTCAGCTTTCGATCCAGTCGCTGGCTCCAAATAAGACAGAAGCAGAATACGGTGAATTTTCCCTTACTGGTTTGAGGTAAATGGGGAAAATGGGGGAAAAAATAAACATGAAAACAGTGTCTCCATCCTACATAAAGCTTTGCTTCAGAAGAACAAAGCAAAATGTTTTGCTGCAGTTAAGAAAAGGGAAGACACTAGTCCGCGTAGGGCTAGCTGTAATGATAGCTACAGCGCCATCTGCAGGAATAAAACAGTTGTTTCTATTTTTGGGTGTCATTTTTCCATTCATGACACCATGCCCTGTCATAATTTCTACTTACCTAAAATGGCTGCAAACTAATCTGCAGCAAGGAGAATTCTATTCTGAACCAATCAGGTGAATGGAACAGTGCAGAAGAACACTGCTGTGTGCTAAATTATATGCAAACGACATCCAATAAGGGCTGAGCTGGCAGATGCAATTCAATGTACGTAGCGTCACCTTGATGGTCAAACATCACAGACATGTTTGCTCCTGTGTTTTTTCTGTCCTTTCTCTCAGAGCTTCCTGTTGGTCACAGGATGGTCAAGTGCTGTCTACACTACGGTAACAGGGATTGATCCATTTTGTACCACGCCCCTTCAAGAATCAGCACAATAAGACAGCAAATCAGGAGGTTTACAAAATCAACAATGGCACACACAGCTGAATAGCTGGTCACAACAGAGAGAATTTCTGTGGAGTCACCTTCTGTCTCAGACTGAGTGGAAAAAGTGTGAAACACGATCAATCACAGAGAACCGCCTCTGACCAGCTCTGACCAGCCGCCCTTTATATCTGTTCCCCTTGGTTTTCTGAGGTCAGTTAACATTGTAACATCTCTAGTCCTCCCTCACAAACGCAATGGGGACAGATAGACTGATGCTTTTGTTTCATTCCTTTTTTGCATACGACCTTCAGTTTAGCAAATCCTTCAAAGCTGACTTTCTTGCATAATTTTTTTTTTTTTTTTTTTGGAGCGCACAACTTTTTTGAACAAGACAATTTTTTAAAATGACTTCCCCATGATTAAAAGTGAGAACAATCACTCACGGACTCTGACAGCTATAAAGTGTCATTTTTCTCCATGCCAGGAGTGTTTTCTCCATGGCGCTCATGGTAAAATTACTCACTCCAGAGAGGTCTTAACAGAGCTTTGAGGTCAACTAATCTGTAATGACTGGTTGGGGCACTAACCTATGTCAAGTCTTCACCTTATGTCACCAGTCTTCATGCTCAAACTTCAGTTCATAAACTGTACCTTTAAATGCCCTTCAGTGGGTACAGATGGAGAGATCATCAGACAAAGAAGACAGGGACGGTGATATACAGGAAGCTTTTCTGGGCAGGGCGATCGAACATGCCAGCCATGAGAAACGATGAGCATGTCCCGGGGTGCTTGGAGGAAGATGTACCTCAAGGTCTCAGTCAGGTGTCTCCATCCCCTGTGTATCTGCATCAAGCTCCTCCAATGTTCTCTGCTACTGTCCAGGCGTCCTGGAGAGTGAAGTCCTTCGGGGGGGCAAGGGGGCCCTCCTGAAGGGGTGTGATGAATCACGAATGTCCACAAAACCCCCCTCTGCTCCCTCATCAACACCCCACTGCATCATACCCACACAGTATTTTAGGAAGAAACCTGGTCATCCAACAGCCAGTATTTAAACTGTTGTTGATGAACAAAAATAGGACTACTGTGGCGCACCCCCATCCCCCGGCCTCCTGAGACCCTGAGTCCTCTTAATCCCGTTTGTCACAACAAGATCAGGATTAGTGTGCGGTTTTCTGAATATCTGCACTTCCGCTCCCTCCAATCTACCCTTGATATTATTAAGGAATGTATTAACTCTGTGTAATCTCCTCTCCTGTCATTTCAGCAGCTGTGTCCAGCGGTAGTTGGTCTGTACAGACCGGCATTTAATATGGAGCTGCAAACATTAGCACCTGAATACACATTGATTCCTTTACCTTAACACATCAATAGGTTTAGTCTTCAGAAAAATAATATTTTCAGACAGGGAAAATTATTTGTCCAATTAGCTTCAACACGGAAAATTAGTTCACCATAGAGACCAGGCGTGGTCAGGAAGAACCCAGAAAATGAGGATAATGTTTGGCATAGACTTGTGCGGGTCTTCACCTCTAAATACACCTCAAACAAATTTTGAAACCTGCTGTTGTCCTACAACCAATTCAGAATTTGTGGTACGGCACAAATGAACACAAAATAAAATGTGTCTTTAAATTGCTATTTGCACACAGTTTCTAATTTCCTGCTCCTTTTTCATAAGCTCATCCGACACACTCTACCGCATCAACGGAAAGGAGAATGTCTTTCGACATTGGAAACAAAAAAAAAAAACAATACAGCTCTGGCAGTGGGCTGAAATGGTAAACCTGATCTACTCTCATTTGCTCAAAAGCTTCAAGCAGATGTATTGATCATCTAATATAATGTCAAGAGAGTGGCAGGAGGCTTTTAAAAAGGATACATTTCACCTTTAAGAGCAGTCTGTAGGACTGGCAGTTTGGAGCTCGCTCGAAGCCGTGAGAGACGTGCACACTTGCCTTTCATTGCAGTGCTGGTCCTACCCCTTCGCTGCAAAGTTCTGAATACGTAGACTTCTAAGAATAACTAGACCTTCCACTGATAAGCTTGGCTGTCATGGTAACCCCTATCAAAGAAGTGCATGTTTTTTTCAGGCAGCTGCCTCTGGCAGGAAACAAACAAAAACACAGATACGAAATTAAAATTGATGCACAATCCTAACCACCTGCACATCTTACTAATACACATTATGATGATCGATTTGCGATTATGAATGATAATAATACATTCTTGTATTTTCCCCATGAGTTATTATGAAATAATCTGGTACACCAGTTTTTTTTTCAAGACAATACTCATATTTTAATAGAGATTTATACCAGGCACTATTCTTTTAGAAGTAATACATTGGCTTTTTGATGTGTGTGTTTGATAGACTGGGGCTCATTGGAGAACTCCAGTCTAAAAAACATTAACATGGTTCAGTACAGTCTACTTTGAGAAGCAATAGCACAGTGAAGTCTCTAAGCAAGAGTGGTCCCTAATGCTGATCAACTATGATTATCAAGTGCTGCATATGAGTGTGTGTGTGCACACATACACATAAACTGACACATACACACTCACGCACGGACGTGTGTGCATAAACTCTTGTGTATGTGTGAATGTGCATATGTGTGTGTATATGTGTGTGTGCAGACCTCTGTGTGTATGTGTGTGTGTGTGTGTGTGTGTGTGTGTGTATACACAAGCCCATGTGTGTGAGAGTGTGTGTATGTGTGTGTGCACATACACATGTCTGTGAGTGTGTATGTGTGTGTGCAGACCTATATGTACCCCTGTATGTGTGTGTGTGAAGATACACACATCTCAAAACATGCTTCAGTTCTAAGCCCCAGGCCTCAGTTTTGAGCTGGTGTCTCAAGTGGTTTTACAAATGAGAGTTTTATATTCATATTTAGATGCAACATTCATTATGCATGAACACTTAATGGACCTGTGGCTGATTGTGTTATAAGCATTAATAACTTAATAAGCTTTTGAAAAATCATATATGCAATACAAAATGTAGTGTTCAATCCCACAAAGTAAAACAGCTACAGTAGCTGGTAAAAAAAACCTGACTCTCTGAAGGATTTCAATGGATTGATTACAGATTATTTTTGTTGCCAGATTATTTTAGAGGTATTTTTGCCAGGTTTTTTTCTTCTTTATATATTTAATTTTCCACGTTCTCAGATTTGCTCTGAGTGTTTGTGCTGTGTTTGTTGAAATTCCAGTTCAACAAATTTCATAAGAAACAAAAATCAAACTTCTCATCTTTTTAAAAAAATTACAAACGATATCAAGTCAAATAAGACTGCCATGGTTACATAAAAATACAGTGATGATAGTCAACACAGAAAGCAAACAGGAACTTTGGAGCAACCAGTACTGATTTCAACTCAGGTGGAACTCCCTTTGTTACATAAGTTTCACCGTTATCTACAAAAAGCCTCTTCCTTTTTAACCCATCCTCTTCCTCATTTCAAAGGTGGAAGAGGTCAAATCCACTGCAAAGCTTTAGGGTTCATCTTAAGATGGTGACACCATGCGGCTCGGGGTTTCAAGCATTGTTCATCAGAAAGAATACTTAATTACCAGCATCTAGTCAAACTAATCTGAACTGGAGACAAGTACGAATCACCAAAGCCAGTTCAGCCATAATATTACCATTAAGAATGCTGAAGTGCTGGAACTAGTGCTACTTGTGGCTAATCAAGAGGAACAGAGTTAACAGCTATAACACTCTGGTGGCTGGATATTATGGCTTGGTAAACAGATTGGTTTGGCACAGACAGGGAAGGGCTTATAAAGACCACTGGTTACCTCATTCAAAGTCCTTTTACTTTCTAAACCTTAAACACAGCAACCCTGACCTATGCAGACGGGCTGCGTTTATCCAATTACCCAGGATGCTTTGTGATTTTGGAAAAGACCGGTGGGACATGCTGAATACTCTGGGCTGACTGGAGCCTCGTGCTTTTCTTACACCATCTGCCCAAAGCTGAATGGCTTATCCATTTACACTGAACAAATCCAGCTTAAGCACCTTTCTCGAGGGAACAAAGCGAGCGCCTTACAGGAATCAAACCAGCAGCCTTTGGGGTACTAGCCAAGGTCCTTAAGCTTA